CAATTAGAAGCCACTCTAACTTTTACGTTATTTCTGTTGTATCCTTGATAGATATAACCCAAGCTGGAATTCCCTGAATGTTCCAGTTCTGACCCTGATCCTCCAACATCCCATTTAACTACTCACATGATAAAGTTATTTGTAAATGTTAAATCTTTGCAGGATTATGATCTAAAGGAGTATTAGAGCCTGATCCAGCAACTTCAGAGGCCTGCCCTAGATTTTGGTGATCAGTGTATCAGAGCCATACTAAAGGGATTAAGATGCTGCTAGTGCTTACTGAAGATACAGTTTTCCCAAAAGCACAGCCCAGTATTCTCATACTGACACAGCCAGAGTAAGAGGTGTAAGTTTACACATTATATAGTATATCTCACTGTACTTATGCTAGTATAACTCTGCTAGTTTACAGTGGCTCCAGTAGCCTTCATTTTATTTCTGTATTCATAATCCAAATACTTAGCAGTGTAAATATTTTCTCTATATGGCTATAAACACCGTCATATATTTATATACTGTGTGAGGCTATATCATGGAGGAACGTAATATTTTGCTGCTGCCTGTCTGAGATGAGTGGGTTACCTGCTGCAGAGAAATGGAGGAGTTAGGCAGGCTGCCACAGCCCTGTCCTGATAAATCTGCCATGCCTAGAGCTCTCCAGGACACCAAGCCTTTCTCTAGAGAGGGCGGGATTTATAGCACTTAAGAAGCTGATATGTGCTAGGCTTTTGTAAGAAATTATGGGAGAAAACATTACAACTCTGTTCCTACTTCTGGTTCAGAAATATTCTGGGGTCTTTTCCTTCATTTTATATGCTTGCATTTTACTTCTCTGCCTCTCTTGCGTCAGTAGATGTCCACTTCCCTTTATTTCATTTCACTAATGACAAGCAGGACCGGGAAAGTGATGCCAGAAGAGATTTGGCACTTTGACTAGAAGATCAAATGTACAAAATAAAAGTATTCCCCCCCATGGCTTGCAGCTTAACTTCATACTGTGGAATTCATGTTGTGTTGTTTGATTAGATGGTAGTCCTTTTACCATGCGTTGTACGGCCATGCCATTGAAGAAGCTTTGCCCCCCTGAAACATGCATTATTTTGCCTAACAACGCTGGTTGGGAGGAAGCATTTTTTCACTTCTATTTTATGCTGAAGAAGATGAAATTTTATGATGTAATTATGCCACATGGATGTGGAAAACTAGTTGCAGTCAGAGTGCAGTTTCCCTTGACAGATTTGAATGTCAAGTTTTAGGCTGCTTCCTTTCTCATTACGTGACATCATAATGAACAAAGTAATGCTAAGTGATATAAAATCATCATTCTTACATAACATCTTTCATCTCAGGATTTCAAAGTACTTTACAATCATTAATCTATGTCCTTTAACTCAGTAATCACATGAGTAAGATCTCCCTCACATAAAAGAAACATTTCTAAATACTCCACATCCTGTTGAAGAAAAGAGGAGTAGCCAAGTTTACTTAGTGAAGAACTGAGATTAAAACTCCATGCATCTGCTTCATTGCAAGCACCTTTCGTTCTTTCCACTGCATCTGTAGATGCAAAAGTCCCAATAAATACTGAGATATAGGCATCTTATTGCATATCAGAAACCTGGTGTTTCCTGGTTTAAATTTGGGATCTCTGTCTGACGCAGATCTGTTGTGTTTCTTCTTAAAGAAAAAAAATTCTGTCATGTACAATCACAGCTGGTTGTTTATTTTAAAAACAGCTTACTTCACAAGCTGGATTTTTTTCAAGGTGCATTACCTACACTGTCTTATTTGTCAGCAATGTTTGAGATAAGAACATATGCCCAGATGAATAGCCTTCCCCCATGTGAATAATTGCAACAAGAATCTAATCAAATGAGTCCCTTTGTTTAGAAAACACAGAAACCAGGTCTATCAATAGGCAGTAGGATGAGAATAGAGCTCGACTTAGAAAAAGCCTTCAGAATATTAACTGCAAGTCATTAAAATGTTTAAATTCTTCAGAAAAGACAAAATATTGCTGTGACTTTTCAAAATGTTATTTTTCACACTTGGATTTTGTTTGATGGTCATTTGTTTTTTCCCGGATCAGTGGGTTTAGGGCCAGTATAAACTGGGTTTTGCTGTTCCAGAGTTAAGGGTATCAACTCTATGTATGAAACGGGAAATTATTTCTTCTGATTTATGTAACTCCTCTATGAAAATCCCCAATATCAAGTTTTGTTCCTTTGCACAGCTACTGTGCATGATCCAGATCAGCCTTTCAGCCCCCTGAGATGGGTTGCAATAAGAAAATTAAAAGCTTACAGCAATAATTAATACCATTAATAATTAAAAATAAAAAGCTTACAGTAATAATTTATCCCATTAATAATTAATACCATTAATACCATCAATCAAAACAACAAAAATTAAAGAAAAACACAAAAATGCTATATTAAATTGCTAAATAATTGTGAGGCTGAAAACGTGGTTATAAGAGAAGAATATTTTGCTTTAACTATGTCTAAGTTAAGCGCAATCATTTGTTTGCCCTGTTGAACTATCATGAAAATGCTGATGACTCTGAATCACTCATAAAACCTGTCCTGAATCACTTGATGAGGCGTGATCACTTGAGTAATATGATTGAATATTAACATCTGTCACAAGTGGTGCTTACAGAGGACAAGTCTAAAAAGGGCTAGTTTATTTGTTTGTTCGTTTAATCCCTGATTCAGGATTTATCACAACTCCCTAGCAGAGGAAAAGTGACTGTCAGCTCTATAATCAAGCAGAAGAAACACCCTAAATTTGGAAGCAGAAACTAGATACATTCAAACCACAAATAACCTGCAGCATTTTGTTGTTGTTGTTGTATTCTGAGGCAAACTCATTCTTGGTGCAGTTTTCTTTGGCATGCAGAAGCCTCTCTCACACTTGAGCACTTCAAATAAAGACTTAGTTATTTCTCAGATGTGTACTATATTGCAAGCAGAAGTATCTGTTTGAAACTAAGTGAGATTCTTTAGTCCGTGTTAGACACGTAGTCAGATTAAATGATGATGATATGTGTATTTATTTTCCTTTGAATCCCTGTCTCCTACTGGTTGTTAGCAACTTATCCGCTATCAAAGGTGTATTCCATGTGTCAAAACAGTAGAAGACATGGCTCCATTTCTGTCATTTTCTAATTCCACACAAAACAAGCCACCCAGCAGTTATCAGAACCAGTGAAAGCAGAGAAAGATTTTAAAACAAGCCAATACTTTCTGAGTGCCTTAATGTTCAATTTCACATGACTTAAGGTTATCCATTTAATTTGCACTATCGTGTTATTGTTAGATGATGCATTATTGCTGCACTTGAGTGAGCACTAACTCCTACCAGGACAATCACTTCTTAAGCCTCTCTAACTTGACCTGAATCAGTTTATTTAGTTGCACATGACTGTTGTACTGTTTTCCTGCCTTCTCTTAATTCTCATGTTTGTCTTGATTATATAGATGCAGAAAGTTATAGCAAATTACATAACTGAATTTAGAGATCATTTCCTCTTTCTGTCCAGTCTTACTCTTCTGTCATGTCTGAGCACTTTCTGAAAGAACATCAAAGAATATACAGTAAATAATTTGTTGTAAGAAATTGAGTTCTTTTCTTATCACCCAAATACTGATTTAATCCTGTACCATTGTAGTTGGTAGAGGAGGGATAAAGCTAAATGTATGGTAGTCTCTGGAACTTGCTGCATGTACAAAAATATGCTTATGCTGTGTTTTTTCTGGTCAGGAGACAGAATACCATTTATGGGTATTGAGACTTTTTTAAGAGCCAAGTTAGGGAAGAACTTCCTTGGAAAGCCTCACTGTACATCTATGGATGGATGTGAGCAAAGTGGACTCTAGCTGGTTTGCGATTTACATCCATTCTGGTCTTACCATATCAGAATAGGAGTGAAGCTGGAAAGGAGAAGCATAGCAAGTTTCCTTCCATTAAAGTGCATGGATATACACTATATGAATAGGGGGCCTTTGAAGCAATGCTATTGCCTTATATTAGTTTACCTGTTCTTCTCTACTGTATACATCTCATTTCACTCCATCTAGTCTAAAAACTGCTTGAGTATAATGATTTTTTGTTGAATAAAAGGCGCATTGTTAAACTGCTTAATTATACCTTGTCTGACTTGTATGGATTTTCAAATCTTTATTTCCTAATACCTCAAAAGGAGATGCGAATGTCCCAATACAGGCTTATGTGAGAAGTTCTCAATCGATTTTTCTTCTTTCGTTCTTTCCTTTTTTCCTTCCTCTCTGTGGCAGAGCAAAGCCTCAGGCATTCAGACGTAGGCAGTTGTCCAAATCTATTTTAAAACATTGTAAAGAAAAGCTTCTTGCAGCTATAGGGCAGGGGTCACATGTACTTTCTCTGGCTTAGCAGAACAACTTACAATGACATTGTAGACACATTTCTCCTCTCCCAGTAAAGATATGCACAACATAGAACTACAAAGATTTTTGATTTCCAGGAGAAGTCTAAGTTACCTTGTCCCACATCTGATCAGTTGAAATAACTTTGGCTCACAAAAAAGAGGGAGGCATATCTTACCTAGGAATCTGCCTATGTCCTTCTTTTTTTCTTCCTGATTGAAAGCAAAGACTTAGCAAAGCACATCTAGATTTTGCAGTGTTGACAGGAAGCTTTGTTATTAGCATAATAATATCAATTGATATCTGAGGCAAATAAATAAGGAACCGGAAATGCCAGAGACAGGAGAAATCATGACATTGTGTAGATACTGAGATATCCAAAGCTTTGGCAATGCTAGTTCATTGCTTGCACTTTGTGTTAATCTTCCCTACAAAACCCAAGTAAGTCTATAGTGATGTAGAATGGAAGATATTTTAAATCAAACTTGTAATAGGAGTTTGAAGCAGCATTTATGGCTGGAAACATTCTAGTATTTTGATTTTCTTTTCCTTGATGTTTCTATGGTAGTTATCCTTTCATGTTTTTCAGCTGCTTTCAAGTCACTGCTGTGCTGTTGGCTGTGAAAGCAAGAGAACAGCTTCTGCAGATGAAAGGCCAGCGATGATAGCAGTGGAATGTGACCTCGGACATTTATCAGAACGACACTGTATGTCAGATGATATGGCATCCTTATTTTTCCAACCACTTTTGGCCTGGAATCAGGTCAGTACAAGATGGGCACATATATCACCGTGCTGTGCATACATCCATAAATGGCATATCCTTCATTAAGGCTTGTGATAGGAAGTTACTTGTGTTAACATGAAATAACTTTCATTTCAATAGCCCTCCTTTGTGTTGTTATTTACCATCTTCCTTTGTCACTTGCAACATGTTTAAAAGTTTGCTTGAAGGAAACCACTTGGATTAGAGAAAGATCAATTGTTCTGTCTGATTAAAAAAAATAATAATTTTAAAAATGGAAACAAATATCAAATGAGGATTATTTTCTTGCTATTGATCAAAGCCATTCTTCTGATTAATACACCAGGATTTCATAAACTGTGAATGATTATTCCTTCCTGCATTTGATTTGGAAACTATCTGAACAGTAATAGAAAAGAAGCTGCTATAAATTTTGGGTAAATCATGTAACCTCCAAGCTTTGTTCTCCCCATTTGCAATTGAAAATAATGGCAGCAAGGTGGATATGGGTTTGTGGTGGAAGATATGAAGGTGAAAAATTGAAATAGGTGTAAAAAGATTTCAATTGCATTCTCAGCCTGGCCATTTGCTTACATTATGACTATAGGTATGTTATTTCCTTGAACTTCAGCATCTACATCTGCAAAACAGGTCTTGGAGTCCTAATAATGAAAAACTGGCCTTAGTTATGCTATTAAATACTTTTTTTTTTTTTTTTTTTCTGTGGCAGGTGTTAAAGATTTCAGACTTATTTGCAGATTGTGTCCCTCAGGAGATTCCAAAGAGTTGGGACTATTCTGTTGTTTTGTTGGTGCATACAATCTAGGCCTACATGAGTAGGCGGAGCTGTCTCTAAACTCAGTTGAAATGCCAGAAACATGGTGCTTTAGCATCTTGGCAAAACAAAGCATTTCTACTTGTATGATGTTAGTGTAGAGTAAAAGTTTAGTTTAGAGTAGAAGAAATTCTGCGGTTGTTTCTATTATGCTGTGCAGGCACTAATGGAGTCGTTAAAGTTTTAAAATGAAATTGTATGATTTTGGTCATGCTTCTGCTCTTGAATGCAGAATTGAGATTGCTTATTGTTTGGATTCATTTCTAATTTTTTTTACAGAAATATATTCTGGGTGAAACATATTTCACACATATAACATACATACAAACATTAACTAGCATTCATTTTTGTGCATAGAAAATATAACAGGATCTCTGACATCCTGGAGCTGAAAAGCAAAGGTGTTGGTAAATATGTTGAAAATGACAGTATTGTGTTTCTCAGGCTTTTTCTTTTTCTTTTTCTTTTTCTTTCTTTTTTTTTTTTTTTTTTTTTTTTTTTTTTTAATTTAATTTAATGTAAAAAAAAGTAGTAATAATCAAGCACTTCTTCATAACAATTCTCAACCCAGACCTAAGAAGAGAAGCAGGAGGGTTTATCCCTATTACAAATCTTGGTCATAAGCCTGTTTTTTGCTTTAAATATATGACATGGTAGAGCAATTGCATAAACATAAGGCATTTTAGAGCTATTAAATAAGCAGAATATTTTTATTCTTGCTGAATGAGCTGAAGTGCTTCTAATGACAAGGTAAATAACTTCTAACATATTCCTGATCTATTAAAATATGGCCTAGGCATCAGTGTTTTGACTAATATGTCAGGTTTGGAGAATGTTAGTTATTTTCCTAACTGGTATTGATTCCTCAGCTTGTTTGGAGGCCAGGAAGATCCTGGTCTGATTGGTTGAGTCATTTTCTGGTGATTAAGTGGTATGTCTGAACAGGAAACGTATTGCAAAATGCTTAGGGGAGTTTATAAAAAGAAAATGTTTGGAGGGAAGATCATTACTCAGAAAGCAAATTCTACTGATACACGATTGCACAGATGTTGCTTTTTGCAAAAGACCAGCATTTTTATTGGGAAATTGGATTAAAAAAAAAAAAAAAAAAAAAATGACTAAAAAGCACTTTGGTTTAATTACTTAGTAGTCTTTCTTTACATCTTTGTCTTACTCAGACAAATGTGTAGGGAACTTAAACTTCATCATAAACTTTCTTGCTAGCAACCTTCTGCTTTCAGGTTCTATGTTTTTGATTCCAAGAATACATATTTCTTTAATGTTATCCTTACTAAACCAACAAAATCCTTATTTACTGTGTGCTTCCTTTGTGCTTTCTTCTGTGATATACTATGTATGTCATGTGTCATACACATGGAGGAAGCAAGGAAGGGGATGCAGGATATTGACATTCCTCAGTTAATACTGCTTCAGTGTTAATACTGTGATACTTTGTTAAATTAGTGAGTTGCCTTAGATGAGTTTCTGTATCATTTCCATAGTTTTCTAGAACTATGACATGTACTCGCTTTGTTCTTCTGCAAAGGTAAGATAACACAGCCAATTCCTCCTTATTCCTCCTTTCAGAATAGCATTTTAATACATGCTGAAAACAAAGTGTATCAGAATGCTATACAAATCCCTTGAAGTCAATGACTTTACCCACAAAACCATGTTTTGCTCCCTCTTCAGTTAGCAGCAATGTTAGGATCACTATCTGGTCATGTTACAGTGTAACTCACTGACAAACCTGATCAAAAGGAAGTTCTGTCATTGTTTAAAGCGGAGCTAGGTTGTTAACACAGGAAAAAAAAAATATTGCGGACAACTAAGGAAAGTAAAATCAAATGTTCCTAATTTACCTAATTTAGTTGGATCCAAAGCTAACTGAAGTCAGTGGGAGTTTTTCCACTGACTTCACTAAACTTTGCATGTTTGTCCACAGAAGTGCTAGGAATAGCCCAGCCAGGCCCTGGGAGAAGCTCCAGCCCCTTGTTCTCAGCTGACCTTCCTTTGCCACAGTGCAGAGCTGTTAGGGTGACTGTCCAGCACCAAGAGCAGGCTGAACTAAAACCTGAAACCAACAATTGCTGTTGGAAAATCCTTACTAAGAAAGAAAAAGGTAAATACAAATAAAAGTAAATGGTAGCAATATTATGGGTTCTCTTGCCTCCAGGCAAGCACCTACAGATTTATACATAGTGACATGCAGACATTAGTTTAGTTTAAGATGCTTACTGATGCTTTGTTGACTAATGTTTTAAGCAAAACAGAAGGCAAGGGTGGGTAGCTTTCCAAAATATGAGTATATTGTGGAATAAAAAGTTCATACAAACTTCCTCTCTGCAAGCATGGAGTAAAATATACATGTTAGCTGAAGGTACTACTGTGCTCTAAAGATGTCCCTACTCTATCACTGCCAGAAGTAAGTGATAAGAGCAGTGGCAGGGCTCCTGTTGGCAACCATGCAGTTAACGTGATCCTTGAAAGATGTAAATCTGCATGAAATTGAGAACTTTTTGTAATAAGAAGTTTCACCTGTGAAGTTTTGCAGAAAACCATTCTCTGACACAGTCGGTTAAATAGAGGCTGTATTTTGCTGAAATCTGAGTTATCTGTGTATGTCTAAACTTATGTTTGTTGTCTGACAGCAAATATTTATCATTGTGAGTGAAAGTAAAAGGTTAGACAGGGATCTTAGATCACCAGGAAGTTCTGTGCCTGCTCTCAGGCACAGATTTTGTTTGAACTTTGTGACATCACTGGCTTTTTTTTGTAATACCGAAAGTACCTTATAGTTTTTAGCTTATACTTTGTTAAACAGTATGTTGTGATGCTGGATGCTTCTCTTTAAGCAGCTGTATAATTGCTGCACACTAAGAACTTGCAAGAATGTGATATAGCCCTTCACAAGCAGAAAGAAATGTGTTTACATCAGAAAGGTTGAGTGGGGAAGACTCTTCAGTTGTGCTGAGTTTCATGGATCACCCTCGTGCATGAATTTTAAATAACCTGTTAAAGTGCATTTGAAAGAAATGCCAGTCCTGTGAACAAGGTGGAATGCTCACACAACAGGCTGACAGACTAGGTTTCTGCTCAACGGGATTTCCTCAGGGAATGTGGCAGTTGCTAAATGTTTTCATTTCAGCTGTTCCGAAAATGCACTTGTGCACAGGCTTTGTTCCCCCCACCCTCCCAAGTGCTGCTCTTACCATTCCAGAGTTCAAAGTGGGTTTTGCTCTCTCTGTTCATTCAAGCTCCTCCCTCACCAGCTGAAATCTGCTCTGGGTATGCACAAGCAGGAAATGTGGAAAGATGCCAACTACTCTGTTGAGAAATTTGCAGATGTGCAGGTCCTTTTTTTTTTTTTTAATTAAACAATTATTATTTTTTTTTAATAAAAATAATTTTCTGGCACAGAGACTAGACAGCTATTGGCAGATGATGCAACTGCAAAAAGGTCTCTCTTTGACATACACTTGAATGTTTAAGGTTGCTAATGTGACATGTTTAAATACCAAATTATGGAGTTCATAATGATATTTTACAGGTTGTCAAGAGCAATAATTTGCTGTGATCCAGTGAGATCACATGAGCTAAGAAAAACTGAGCAATTTAAAGAAGGCTGTCCAGCAAGCCTTCCAGTGTTACTTCGGTTGCTGGTGGCATTTCATGAGGTGACACCTCTCTATCAAGTTGTAAGCCATCATCAAAGTGGTGCTAGGAAGCACGGCATTGCAGAGCCTGATATCCTGGGGGGAAGCAATAGTAGGGGCTTTTGGTAGCACATGGCTCTTGCTCCTGAATGTCAGTGCTTTGTCAGAGAGTGAGTTTCTCTTGACAGCAGAGACAGTAAGACCAAACTCTGCCTGATACGTTTGTGGAAAACTGTCAGTGCTGGAAAGGGACCAGTTTAACTGAGAGAACTGAAGTTGACTAAGCTTGAACAATCTAATTATCACACAAGGTAAATGGCTCTAGGCTTCATTTAAGAAACCAGGGATGAAAGAGTGGAAACAGGAATAAGCCACATTTTTTCTGCGATCAGATAAGAAAGAGAAACCATCAGTGCTGCGTGGCTGAATACAAAGTAGAAAAACTGAAGTTGCACTAGGAAGTTAAAAAGCAATTAAACTTTCAAGAACATATTCCTGAGCAGCAGTTTGGGAGCACTGATTTAATTTTTACCCAGAAATACAAGAATTCCAATTTTTGAAGGATAACTGAGGTGGATATAAACTATGGAGCTATAAGCTATAGAGGTAGAGACATACAACTTACAACTTTAAAACACCAGATTTAAGGAAGCGTCTTTTTTGTGTTTGCACTGAGGGTGCTCTATGAATGCCATGAATATCTGCTTTAACAATTGTGTTGCTATGCTGCAATTTGGCCTCCAGTGAGAACTGTGGAATCCTTGTTTTTAACAGAGGTCTCTGTCTGTTTCTTGCTCTTACAGTTGATTGAGGACAGAAGAAAAGCTGGTTATTGGTTTAAATGAATATGGGATTGACTCTAGCACAAGGTAGGACACTGAATGGAATTTTCTTTTTTTGTCAATAAGCACAGTAGCAAAAAAATGTCAGTAAGCATTTTTCATTGAGCATAAACTTACCTTTTGAACCATGACAACTTACTATTTCTGAACAAAGTTTACAAATAGGGATGTTTGTAAAACAAATACATCAGATTGGAACGAAAACCTACAGATGAAGAAAAATTTTAGATGCATCAATACTATTTTTGCTGAACTATATGTAACCATAATATGCACAGCTTCAGCAGAACCTATAGATCTTTGGTTATTCCCCTCTTACTCTTTCCCTATCCATATTATTCTGAAAAAAAAAAAAAAAAAAAAACCACCAGCAAATATGAGAGCAAAAATGACAGTGACTTTAATTGACATTTCCTAGAAAATCCAGAACATGGCAAGGAACTAAGCAAGTTGTAATTATACATTGGCAAGAGTCCTAATTAAGACATATCGATGAAATTCACAATGAATTCTTTGCCCAGACTACAGATATGCTCTCAGGTTGCCCTGAAAGAGCCTCCAAATATATCATGGCTAAGTGTAAGGCTTTTGTAAAAATGCTGCTGGTAAAGGGCATTAATGGTACATAACTCTTGTTTCTTAGCAACTTTATTTTTCAAACAAAGTGGGAGCTGGATACATATAATTGATTTATTTTATGCTGTCAAGATGGATAATAATGTACAACAGACAAAGCAGACACCCAACAGTTGCTGATTGTTTTCTATTATCTCCATAGAGCAAGTAAGAAACATTTGCATAAGATAATTTTAAAAAAAGAACTGATCTTCCTGCTGGCCATTCCTCTCTGGCTAAGCACAAGAAATGAGGCCATCTCTTCTCCAACACAGCGTAACGCTGCAGTAGTCAATAGAAACTCCTGAAGCAAACTCTGGAATTAACAAAGATGGTAGCTTCCTCCCTGAGAATGAGAAAAGGGGAATTTACCATTCAATTTCTAGCATGGGTATGCTCAAGAGAATGGACTCATTAATGAAACACAGTAGCATGGACTAACTAGGTATGTTTAATTCAAAAATGAAGAATGAGAGAACCTGCCTGAAACCAGGAGCATGGCAGTTAGAAGTACTGTAGTTCCATCCTTGAGCTAGGAAAGTCTGCCTGAGCGTTCTGAGAAACAGTAACTTTCCAAAATTACCACCAGTATGACTATCTGTGCACTCAGGCTAAACACCATGGTCTTCACTGGCTCACACTCTTTCTTATCTTTCTTCCACTAATGACAGTCAGTGAAGACTTTGTTCAGAAACACCCACAAAGCATAAATAACATTTAATTAAATAAAGTCTCTGCTAAGATTTAATATGCTAACATCAAAGCATCCGGAAAGCAATCTCTGTCTCTGACAGAAGGTTTCCCACAGACAAGGAATAATGTCAGGTACTTGCTGATGACAATCAGAATTGATAAGTGTATCTTCACAGAGCTTCATGTTTTTCACTGACAGACAGTCACATTCTAGGAGCTATTTTCATGTGAGTGCATGCCAAGCACTCACTTCTATGGTTTTGGGGATTTTAATTTGTTTGTTGGTTTGCTATTTCTTACTGTGTTTTGTTTTTTTCAATTCCCCCTAAATCTTTTATCACATACATGTTTATTTTCCTCCTGATATAATCTAAAGCAACCCAGCTGGCTACTTAGCATTGTGACATCTTCTAAGTAGCTGACAGTTACCAGCTCATGCGGATGTTTTAGCACACCAGCAAAGCAGAGTTTATTTACCATCTGTACACAGCCTGCAATCATTTGGCTTGGAAGACTGTGTATTAAGTTAAATTTCTTTATCATTCTAATTGACATTTAAGTTTCATTTTGCACTGCAGAGTCTTAATCTGAAATTGAGTATGACCGAACTGAGAATACATTTCAGGAAAGGTGTTAGCACAGCAGTGCAGGAAGGAAATCTTATCAGCTTTGTAGAGCTTGGTTGGTTAGTTTTACAGAGATTCATTTGTCAGCAGAACTGGAGGCAGCACAGCTGCAAGAACTAGCTAGGAAAATGTGGTCTAGTCCAAAGCGTACTGGAATCCACGCAAAACAATGTTTAATTACTTGATCCTTTCCTCTCTAATTTCTGTTACATCAGTGAGGTGTTCAATGGGAGGATAAATACATCTATGCCTTTGATATTCTTTCATATGCATTTCTCAGAGTAGTGATTTCTGTGAAACACAGCAGAATCAAAACTGCATTTGAGCCCAGAAACTCAAATGTCAGAAATGAAAATATAAAATATCTGCAGACTAAAGCCCTTCGAGTACAGATGATTTGGCATTAATAAAATTAAATAAATAAAATTAAATTAAATAAATATCATATTCCTGAGGGAAAGCATCCAAATATACCCCTTCCCTTTGGATGATTACATATTTTAAAAGGACAGGAAAAGGAAAAAAAATGCAACTGTTTATATGATGACTGCTCTGAAAGTGATGCCTCCTTTTATTACATTAGCCCACAGCGTCAAAGGCAGATGTTGGTGGCACAGCAGTAGAGGTGAACCTCCTCACCAGCACTCCATTACGTGTTGGTGCTGTGGCAGATGGCAGCAGAAGGGCACTCTCACAAAATGGTGTCTGACATGGAAGTGCATATGAAGGAAAAGTGTGGGGTTCTATGATAACTCTATTCCTTATGAAAATCAGAGCTATCTTAGCGCTAGGCTCATTCTTCTGCTTTCAGATAAAAAACTTCTAGATTCATGAGCTGAAGATTTTGAAGAGGCTTGTGCTGGCTACTTGCAGACAGATTGCAGTTACCAAAGTGTCTAAGAATCAGTTAATTCAGAATTATATGGGAAGCAAGAAGTTATTCTGCACTCAGATTTTGTATGATTAATAATTCTGCGTCAGTAAAACCCATTCTAGCTTCAGGGAGATTTAATCAGCAAAGAGGTGTTATTCAAAAAGTGAAATTTCCTAGATTTGTATCTGTAAAGTGTATCAGACAAACTTTGTTTCCTTTCTATGAAAATATCAGAGAAAACATTCACGTATGGAAACAAAAACAAACCCAACCAACCTAACAAACACAACACCAGGGATGGTGTTGGAGGATAAAAGACTCATCTCTCATCTTTCCTAGTTCATGAACTTGCTGTTGACTGTGGGAAGAAGGCTAGAAAATTAGTTAGGTGTGTTCTATTGGTACTTCTCTCTGTTGTGCTTTTGTTTCTGGTTTTGTTGGGGTTTTGTTGTTGTTGTTGTTTTTAATTAAGTAGCAAGGATCCTGTGGAATGGTTTAAATATTCACTGCTTACCAATGAACAGTTTTTAAACTCTGCCTCAATAGACAAGTATTAATCTGCTAATGTGTTTAGAAACTTGAGCAGAGATGCTGCTTATAAGGTGTCTCACACTGGAGTCATTTCATTAAGGGCATTATCTGACACATTCAGGCTCGGGTAGGAAGGGCTATTTCCTGCACATGTGGTAAGAAAATCCAGCTATTCCACGCTCCTGGAAAATCATGCTCCCACATAAAGAAATTAGCTTCCTTTCCTTAGATCTGCTTCCCATCATCTGTAAAGCAAAATTCCTTTAAGAGAGCCACTCTAATGGCTTCATGTGTTCATTTAAAAACAAAAACAAAACTCCACAGTATTACTGAAAGAGAAGACATGAAAATTTGTATCAAAATTTGTAATATTTGTATAACTACTGATTCTCACCAGAGATGAATATGATGACAAACTTCAAACTATGAGCAGGAAACCATTTACACTACCAATAGTGCCCTATTATGGGATGTAATAAAGTGTCAAGGTTTTTACCTTCATACAAGCATTTCACCCTCATGAGCTTTCATGAAGTAGTCTTATTACCTTACCCTATAGACCACAAACCAATATACTCAGTGTACATGCTGGACTTGCTCAAAGGCATAAAGGGGGTGAGTGGTGGGGAAATGAATTCAGCACAGTCTCCCGAGACACAGGCTGCAACACTAACAACCAGAGCATCTCTTTTGTTTAAAAAAGTAAGAGTTAACTTTGAAGAAATCCATAATTAATTAGAAAAGATCAGACAGAACATTTAAATACCACAAGAAGGACTTTTATTGTGTCAGATATGTAGATAGTATTATATTTACAAGAATTTGAATAGATAGGCTTGCACATGTCAGGAAGGAGAGTGCTTTATATAATAAGCCACAGTGAGGGGATGAACATCCCACAGCAGTTAGCAGGCATAGCTTTATGAGTTGATAAGGCTGGATTGTTTTTCATAAGGACTATTCTTACTCCTATCCTTTAAAAGGGGGTGAACAGCCAAGCGTGAACAAAAAAAAAAATGTACAAAGCAGCTGTGCTGTTAAAAATACTGGGTTTGCAACTTGGTTTTGCTGGAAGGGGAGGCCCTGGAGCGCCTAGGGAAGGAAACCCTTAATGGTTGTATGTCCTGCACTTCATCTAAGTGAGGTTAGACTACAGTAGTCAACAGAACCACAGGTAATGGCAGATTTGTAGCTCTTGATTAGTATTTACTAAACTAAGCTTTAGTCAGTGAGATTAGACTGTATCTAAGCTATGTTTTCCTTTGGAAAGAGGTGGGTGAGACTATGAATAAAAAATTTCTTAAGTCCAATTAAGTAATATCTCATGAAACATAACTTAAAAAGATGTTTATGATTAGAATTAAAATTAGTAAGCATGAAGCATACGTTCATCTTCTGCCATTTTCAAAGGCCAAGTATTTAGACAGCAGACACGCAGAGTGTGGTCATTAGAATAGCAAGTCCCTGGTGCATGCAGCCCCCTACATGCCTCCATTCTTCAGGGTGTGCTGACACATCCTGGAGGCATTTGGCAGGAGACGGTTACTTTATGCTTAGAATCTTCTGACGTGAGTGGAGGGAAGAGGAGACCTGGTAAAGGTGAAGAGATACACAGGAGGTCAGTGCTGTAAGCATCCTTCCTAAAGAAGGAAGTTTTAGAATATTTTCCAGGAGGGGTTAAATGAAGTTTGACTTAGTATTTTCCGGGTTCTCTGTAGAAGAAACTTTCTTCCACGTGGCTCTCAATGCTGGACTGAAGCTAGGAATGCTTTCAGTCAGCCTGATACCATTTCTTTACTACACACCCACTCTCTGCTAACTACAGATTACCTTTTCTGAAAGTTTGCCAAGAGAGTTTTCTCACTGTTTGTTCTTGTTTTCCTCAAGGCTGCTGAAGATCTGCACTCTTTCTGATAACGGGATGATGAGCTGTACCTTCTCTTTTGTTGTTGTTGCTTTACTTTTATCACTTTAAGGAAAAAGTACACATACTCTCCCAAAGTTAAATAAGCCAGATAAACATACTGCAACTCAAAAGTTAATGACCGAATAAAAGCTAAGTTCAGCCAAGCAAGACTCATGAAGCTAGAAGACAAATTTCAACCCAAATGAGAGAAGTTTTGTTGTGCAAAGTACCCTGATGCTGACAAATGATTTCAGAGGGTTGGCTAAATGCTCAGCTCCTTACAGACTGTGCGTCACCAGGCTGTGTGTGGATGAGCAGGGCCACTGCTCCTCTGAGTGTTTTCTCCCTATGTTCTCCCAGGCACAGGGCAAGCAAATGTGAAATAGGTCAGGCAGCTCCTACCGTGAGAGCCAAGTGTCCTGCTCCTGCAGGCACCTCCCAAGTCGCTCAGGGTAGGTGGCTGTGAGGCACATGTCAAAGCATTTATGGGTGCTGTCAGTTACCTACAAGGAACTGTATGGTCCACTGAGGTTTTTTATCAAACGTTCAGATACGTGCTTTGCCTGCAGAGCATTTCCCCTTCTTGCTGCAGCACATGAAGTGACTCCTACTCGTTTCTGGATTCTTTCTTTTTAGTGAAACCTCACTTCCACATTAGCAAGATGGTTGTGTTGATCAAAGTCAAGCAAGTGTAGCACAAGTAGCATTAGCTCTATTCTGACCTTTGTTTCTAGTAGTTTTCCATGTACTCGTAGGTTAAATCTTTCTGATATATAACAAGCCTTCAGCTTCCTCAAATACCGAATCTAAATAAAGGAAAGTCATTTCTGAGTTCCCCATTTCACGCTCCGCCGGACGCAGCGACGGCCTCCCACTTCCCCAGTTCACAGGTGCCGCCTTCACGACGGTCCGCACGTGGTGCGGGAAGGAGGAAAGGAGGAAAGACCTCTCAAGCTGAACGCGGATCCCGACCCGAGCCCGCAGGTGGGCTCCCGAGCGGCCCGGGTCCGCGAAGCCGCGAGGGGGCGCGGCCAAAGCTCCCACTGCGCACGGCGGGTCCATGCACCTTGCTGGAGGCGCGGGGCGCCCGGCGCGGTTCGCACGGGGTTGGGGCTACCGGCCCGCCTCCTCCCGCCCCGGCCCCGCCCCGGCCTCAGCCGAGCCGGGACGAGCCGTGCCGCGCGGCGGGCAGCGTGCGGAGCGGCGTCTCTACTGGCGGTAGGGTCACGCTGCGGGCGGAGCAGGTGCGGAGGGGCTGGGTTGTCGGGTGGCGTTGGCAGCTCCTGGGACCGTGCCGTGCCGTGCCGTGCCGTGCCAGGGTGCGGGAGGGTGCCGGTCGGCTGCTGGTCGGCTGCTGGTTGGGCGGCTGAGCGCGGTGCCAGGCGGGGCAGCTCTGGGGCTCTCGCGCTCGGTCGGAGGGAGACGCAGAAGAAGGAAAACTGGTGGTGTCTTCGTAAGTATGCCGCGATTAAGGCAGGAAAACGCTTTCCGAACGTGTTGCGGCGCTGAAGTGGGCTATTAGTTTGGACGTGTCCTGGTGAGTGTACTAATGAGCGTAACAACACCCCTCCCTGCGCACCTTCTGGTTTAATTGAATATGGCATCTGCTGGGTCTTCGTCTGTGCTTTGAAGTATGCCTTAATCTACGATAGTAATTGTCTTGTGTTCCTTGCTTCATTTTGAATGTGTAAATTCAGCATGTAATTTGAATTCATGTAGCTGGCCGTAAGTTGGCTTGAGGACTCCTGGTTGCTGGTTTGCTTGCCCCAGGCATATATGGTTGATCCAGTATCAAAAAGTTTTCAGTTCCCTCCTAACTAGCTTATCAGGAAGGATCTGAAGGGCTCTGCTGACTTGAAAAACCGTTTACAATTGGCAACCTTTTTGGTGCTTTCAGCCAAAATGCGATCTGAGTGTGGAATCCAAACTGCATTCTTGCATCTAAAGATGGTCCCTGCAGGTCAGAATTGAGGCGTGCTGGCATAACCAGGAAACTGCATATGAGTGTGGGTGGGTTTTTTTGTTGTTGTTGTTTTTGTTTTTGTTTTTTTTCCTTTCTTGCTTTTGTGTGTGTGTGTGTGTGTGCATGCCTCAGAGACTCCAACTCTTGTAACAAGGCAAAGTAGCAGTGTGGCTTCATGCTGCCCAGGCCGCACTGGGGTGCAGCTGCCCCCCTCCCCCCTCTCCTCCCCTCTGACTCTGCTGTTGGTTTTGAGGAAGTTCTTAATCTGGCGCTGTGACTCAGTGTCCTAATCTTTAAAACGGCTTAATAAGACTTGTCACACTTGCCTCCCAGGGATATTAACATGTAATTGATGTTCATGAAGTACTTCATCAGGGAGAAAAGAGGGCATCTTGCTTCCTTCATTTCGCCATTCTATATTGGTTGCTAAATATATTACATGGGTGGAAAACAGATTATCCAATGACCAACTGGCATTCATGTCTCTTATCATATACATGAGCACTTCAAATACGTGTTTGCCCATGTCTGATGACTTTGAAATACTTGTTTTTTTCACTGAATACTACAGGTTTTATTCTTTCTGGAAGACAGGTCATATGGAAGCTCTTTTTTTTTTTTTTTTTTCTGCCTATTATAAGGTCAGTAAACGTTTTGAGAATTAAAATTACACTGACTCACTTAACACTCAACACATGGTTGATTCAAGTCTTTCTCAGACCAAGTCTTATGTTCAGTCTTGTTTTCTTGTCATGTTTCACTTATTTATCAACTGGAAACATGAACAATAATTTTACCATTCTCTGCTTGAAAGAAGTTGTCTTTAAAACAAGCCCTGTTTTTATCTTTGTACCTTGTATCTTCTTACTTGCTGCCCAGAGCAGTAATTAGCAGCTTTGCTCTCCTGACTTGAATCTCACCCCACCTCCTCCTTATCACTGTTGCCTCCCCCTGGGGCAGATAGCAGTCTGCAGTGGCAGCAGTGCAGTGCTGGGATCACCAGCAACAATTGCTGGGGGACATCAGGATTCTTTAAATCAGCTGCTGTGAGGTGGTCACACCTACTTGTAGCACTGGTGTAATGGTGTTTTTTCAGCTCAAGCCTTGGATTTGGAAATTTTCAGTCCTTTCCCAGAATCTTGATTCCTGCAAGGCTGTGTGCTGGGAGGCTGTTCTGTGACTGGGCTGATTTGCCAGGTATCAGCACGTTCACTCGTGTGTTTCCTTCTATTTTGCCTTTCAGCAAAACATGTTAAGGGGTTAATACCCCTTCATGTTAAGTAAACATATTGAATTAATACCTAATAGGGAAGGCTTTTAAAATGCTGCTTGATGTTGGCAACTGCTGTTTTCTTCATATGACTTGAAGAAGGAACTGGAAGTGCAGCTTATAATGCATAGTGAAGGCATGAAGTTCCAACAGAAAACTGAAGGATGCCACATTCAAATTCTTCTTCCCCTGTGGTCTGCAGCAAGCGGCCTGACTTTTCCTGTCTTGCCTGTAAATGTGGGCAAATCCATCAGTGGCTTTGTAAATGTTTTTTTAAAAAAAAAGAAAAGAAAAAGGAAGAAAGAAAAAGAAATACTCTGTTCTTAATTTTGTATTTCCTTTCTTTGTTGCCTTATTGTTAACCTGAAGATGTAGAGCAGTATGAAATGTCTGATATTGTGGTGGTATTTTGAATTAAATTTTAGGTATTAGCTATTTGGAATTAAAATTTTATGTTGCCCGTGTCTCATGAGAAATGTGGAGATGAGAGCCCTTCTTTTTGGGTGCAGGAAGCCATAAATGAGAGGTGAAGCACGTTCACTGAGAAAGCAGCTAGCAATCAACTCTTTCACCTCTTTTAACACGTACCTTGTATCTGCTCCAGCTGTCTCACTGCTTTGGTATTTTATAATTAGTATCTTGAAAACTCAAGGGAAAACTTTGAAATGCTATGTATTTCCCACTGGGACTCTTCCACGTGGCTGTAACATTTGTTGTGAGACCTTGGTAACGTGTGTCTGTTCCTCAGCCGGGTTGGATTCTCCTGGTGTCAGCAGGAAATCTGGCTTTCTACTGGAGGAGACCATACTTCTTAGGAGCATGGTGTGTTTTGATTCCCTTGAAATGAAGTTGATGTCAGGTGACTGAAATTGAGGTCTGCCTTCCTATGTGGCGCTTCTGTTATTTCAGCTTGCTCTCGTGTTGTGTCCATAGTCAGCGAGTTACAGGATGGCTGAGGATGGCTTTGTGTGTCTGTACAGGCAGCCTGGCATGCTTGTATATGTATAATACATAGGTACTTGTAAAATATACACTTACAGTGTGCACTTTGTACAAGAGCAAATTGTTTTGCTATACCTTTTCAAGTTCTTTTTGTTTGAAGAGTCCTTGTGTACTTGCCATAAATTTGGAAAATGCAGCCTCTGCTCTGTGTCTGGCAGCCAGGCTGCTAAGGAGGGGGGGGGGGGGAGGCATGCTGTTTGGCTTGCTTGTCACCAGGACTGGTTTTAGAGGTGTTTATGCTGACAGATTGACTCCTTCAGAAGTGGTATTAGTAGTTCAGGGTATTCCAGCACCAGAGGCTAGACTGTTTCCAGAAAATAGAGATATTCTAAATTAAGGCCATTAAGTGTCCACTGATTCAGTGACTGCAGATACACAGTTAATATTGTATTGTGACACATTCTGGAAATGGCTGGGTTTATTTTTGACATGGAGAAGATGACTAAGAATAACTCTTTCATCTATGCATACTTGCAAGTGAAAACTTCCCCAAAATGATCTTTAGTCATGTTTATGCTCTTAGGTCCATGAAAGGAGAAAAACTGACTTAGGCTTAAGTCTGAGAAATGTGTGCTATCAGACTGATTTCCTGCTCCAGATGACTGTTCAGTGAGTTTTGGTTTTATTTGGGAAGCTTTTTTCTTTTCTCCTCCAAATGTTTGGGGGCAGTCTAACATGTGTGATGAGGGGTGTGGTGAAGAAGCACAGGTCCTTGTCAGGAGAGGCAGATGCTACCACAGCACAAATTCTGATAGATGCTATTGTCCTTGCTTATCTCCTCAGTTTCTAATTGTGTTAATCTCAGTGTCCCAGTAACTCAGATTTAACTAGGAAATGTAACTTCAGAAAAGTTGCTGGATGAAACTCCAGTTAAGTTCAGAGTTTCCTGTACTTGTGTTTGTTTCTTGTTGCTCTTTCCATCTCAGAGCTGTGATGTAAGACCTTCTGAGGGGGGAACAATTCTGAAGACAGCCTGTGGCTTCAGTTTTCACCTGCCTGGCTCTTTGTGGGCACCTTGCTACGTTTTGTTAATTGGTGGCCAAAGACTTGCTGCTTGGGACTCTTTAGGCAGATGGTTTATCAAATTGTGTGTTGGAATGTGTCAACTAGATTTAACTCTTTGTTCTTGTCTCTGGTATCTGCGTTGGTGTGGACAAACAAAGCCAGTGGTTTCTTTACTTGCTACATTCAGCCAAGTGGATGCTACCGGTTTAGATTTTAAAATGACTGTAAATGCACGTTATGGATTTTTGGCTTCTTAAATAGTAGGTTCTTTGGATCCTTTAGTCCACAATAAACCCTTCTCAGACCTTTTAAGCTTACAGCTTATTGCCCATGAAGACTGCAGTAATGCCTAAGGGGGTGTTAGAGTTTATCTTTCTGTGTAACTGACGTAGTCAAGGATAAAAATAGAATTTCCAAAGCCATCTGAATTTTTTTGTTGGGAATATGTGGGTATGTTTTCAACTAACTTTAAATAGTCTTACTGTAATTCAGTCTTGTACCCATAAAATTTGCACGAGGGAAGACTCTGTTTTAATAGCGTGTCTTTTGAAAAACTGAGTACACCAAAATGCTATTTAGTTTAGATAAGGTATTTTGCTGTCCTGAATATTATCTGAATAGCCAACTCCAAAGGCTTTTAAATCTTTGACGTGTTTTCCCGGTCTATTGTCTGCAAATCAAACATGAAGATGTCCAGCAACAAATTAATAAAAAGCAAAGCAGAAGCTGAAGCAGGAGATGCCTCTTTCTCCCATGTCTCTGAGAAGACTTGGGTTTGGCACATAATGTAATTCTTATTTGCATTCAATTGGCTGAGTGTGTGTCACAGTAACTATAATCTGTGCTATTGGCTGAGGTGAGTCCCATCTGCTAGAGTTGTTAGGGATGTGCAGTGCCCTAGGCCTCTGCACCTGTGCACACCAGTGGACTTAGAGAAACAAGCACAGTCTCTGAAGACAGCTGCTAAAAGCAAGGGAGGAGTTCAAGATGCAGTGCAGGGTTCT